ACACATATAAAGAAGAACACATTAGAAGTCTCAGCATAGCAGTGCTGCTAGGAGGAGTCCCTTCTCTACAGGTTGTGAGTCTGAAACCAGGACCTAGCCATGTTGTTGAAGGCAATTTCCTGGCTTCTTTCAAGAAGTGGCAGAATGAAATCTTCAGATCAGTTAGCTACTACTAACCAAATGGTCTCCTTCATTGAATGCCATTAATAATCTATATGACTAATCCAATCAAGAAGAAACAGGTACTTACTAAATAGTAAAGGTCCCAGCACACGACCTGTCAAACACCCTGAATAAGTGGGAGAACATTCAATTTTAAATAGCTGAGATTGATTTCGTGATTGTGCTGTGAAATGAAGGAGAAGAATATTAAATGACTTAGAGTCCATCATGAGCTAAATAAACTAATTAGAGTTTAAGAGGACAATGAGTTTAAAAAATCTGTGAGTATTTCATTTAATGTTTTTTAGTCACCACTATCCAGTTTATTTCTATATGAAAAATGTTAACCTTAGAAAAGCTATTCTTCTCAGCAAATCACTTAAAAGACCTCGGGCATCCCTGTTTGTAGCTCTCTTCTCTCAGCATGCACATTTACATATACTTGACTACACTTTTCTTATCAAAAACTCAAAGGAATGGTTGCTTCTGTCTTGTTGACATGTTCTTTCTCATGTATCGTTCTGTTTTCTATCATTATTTTTGCCCCATGGCATTGCATGACATTTTCAATGTATTGTATTTAGGAAAAAAGCTTAAAATGTTCCTAAAATTGCACACAGAAGCAGATTGCAGTCTTACAAACTTTAAAACTATTTGTGCCTGACAGAGCAAGACTTCTTTTAATGCCAAAGTGCTAATTGAATGAAGTCAGGTAGATGGTTAAATGTAACTAGTGAAAAAGGTCTAATAAAAAGGCTTTTCAAAACTGTTGCCTACCACACTTTAACCCTTTTTAAGAAACAAACTAGTTAATAATTCCTGAAACTCCTATGAATTCTATTTAATTTAGATTTAAACTTCAGGAAGTACTGTAGATTGTCAGTGGTATGTGTGCTGGCTAACAGCTGAACTCTTTGTAGAGACTTGTCCCTCATACTCAAATGTGTGTGTCTGACATGGTGCAGTGTCTGTAATGATCTAGCTTTTGAGTTCTTCATAGTTGTGGCTTTTGGGGTGCTGGGATTAGTGTAAAGAATACTCTAATATCAGGACACATCTGCTATGGAATTAGGCAGCTTCATTAGAACACAACAGTTTACATTTTATATGTAGCCTGTTATAAAATAAAGGCTATTTAGTATGAGTAAGGTTTGCAACATTTACACAGAAACCCCTTCCCTTCTTCTTCTTCTACTGAATGTCTAGCTGTGACAGGTTAATTTTATAAGCTACATTTTACAATTGGAAAAAAGTAAAGTGCAAGAAAAAAAGGTTACTACCTTTTTGTGCTTTTATGGGATATGTTTCATAAATAATTTGCTGCTTTGCACTAAAAGGCTTTCTCTTTCTCTATAATATATGAAGAAGTAAGAAAAAACACTAAATTAATACTGCTCTAAGAGACTTTGAATCCATCAGTTGAGAAGTTTACTTTCTGAAATCTTTATATCATGAGTGAGAATGTTGTGCACTATCCTTCATTAGCTAACATCCACTACTGTTTAAGGATTAAAAATGTTGCATGTCATTCTTACATCTTGTTGATAAATGTTAGTCATTGCTGTATTGCAGTACATAAACCAAATTAAAAATCAAATCTGTGTGTCCAATTCATAAGAGCATCAAGACAAGTACTTTCATCAGGAAGAAAGATTATTATATTTTCCACTTTTTAAATAATTTCTCATGTTTGAAATAGTACTTTGAATGTAGAAGAAGGTATTTCATGTAGTGGAACATTAATATTTAAGGTTAAAATGCTTGTCCTTTGATATCCATGATAGATACAGTTAAAGTCATCTGAGATTGTGAATTGGCTCAACTGCTTCTTAGCACTTCTTCCTATACTTTGATCAAAACTGCATCAGGAATGGGGCGACACTTCAGCTTCAGTTTGGACTTGGAAAAGGCCCAAGTGGGAGCGAAGTGTTTTTTTAAAAACCAGAAATAGGTGAGCAGCAAGATCCCACCTCTCCTGATTAGATTAGCTCTTGTGAAGCTCTTGGCAAATGGAACAATTAGTATGAGAAATCACACTTGGCATTCTCTCGCTGTGCATGAGGGGCCTGGGGCATGCATTGAAGATTGCTATTGATTCATTGTAATAGCCTTTTTGGAGGCATATTTCCGTGCTTCAAATCAGCTCTGGTCCCAAGGGAACAGAATGCAAATGTGCGTCTCAGTTGAGGCACCGCTCTTGTTTGTGACACATACAATCACCTTTTGCCTGATGCGTGATTGTCCTTCGCATATTTTGTTCCAGCTCTGCCATTTTATTCAGTCCCTGTCCTAGTGCTGACGTCTTTCCTGTTGCCAGCTTTTGAACGCTTTGAGACCTCTGATGCTGTGAGTGACGTCTATAGATGAGAGGAGGGGGTGGTATTTAAAATAGTTATGGCCTTTACACTGCGGAGTAGGGAAGACAGGTACTAGAGTCAGAGTACAAAGAAAAGTCCCAAGAACTGGAAGTAAAGATCCTTTGGGAAAAACATCTTTGTGATGGGCCGGAGCGAGGAAATGTATCTCCATATATCCCAACAGTTCAAAAGACTCTCAGGTGAGCCTTAGGGGAATATCTTTTTTCTTTTTTGTGTGAGTATTTTGCTTTTGCTTGTAGAGAAAAAATGCTTAATATTTTATTAAACTAATGCTAATGCAAATTTTGCAAGACACTGTAGGCACTGTCATATTTTCATTAGAACAGCATTTGAAAATAATCTGCAGTTTATTGGGACTGAATGGACTGAATCAATTTTTAAAATCAAAATAAGTTAAATGCTTGGCTTCCTTTTCTTGTCTATTTTCTGTATGTATTTTTTATATGTAGCACTGTAATTTGTTTTTTCCTACAAGTATTATATATTCAATAAATACTGGTTTATCAGCCAAAGGAAATTTATCTTAGAGAAAAAGCCATTTATTTTTTGCCAACAGTCATCTCGTTTTTATTATATGGGAGATTGAATTTTGAATTTATATGAATTACTTTTTGAATCATAATGAATGTACTACTGTACATCTGTCTGCTTATGTTTTTTCTGATAAAATCTTTTAAAATAATTAACTCTACGCTTTTCTTTTTGTTATTATTTTTGAATAACATATTATAGACTAGATAAAATGCTGTAATTCAATGTAAATACTGTAGAAAACTATATATATTTAACTTCATAGATTTAATCATCAGCATCAAAGTTGTAAAAATTTGGGTATCTTGTTCTCTGAAGATGTTCAATATAGCCTGCTGCTCAGAACGTTATTTTTGAGTTTTCTCTAGTCTGTTTTTGTATTTGCAAAATCATTGATGGCATCAGTGGTAAATGCGATTCATGATAATGTGACTTCAAAGCTGACGATGCTAATATAAAGTGAAGAATGCCTCAGTGTGTATATTCTGTATCAGTCTTGTATAATTCATCTAAATTGACAAATTGTTAGGATTCTGCAATAAATGCTACAATCTTTCTGCTTTGGGCATCAAAGGTAACTGTAGGAATGGCAAAGATCTATGAAACAGGATGATCAGGTCCTCCTGTTAGGGTTTGTATCAGATACTAAAACTTTTTTAGAAAACAGCAACTTTATTCAGAAGGTTGAAAAGATATTGTTTTTTTAGCAATTAAATATATCAGGACCTCATGACATGCCTTTTGAAACTTAATGTCCAAAGAAATGTGAGTTTTAAGATGTATTAGACTTGAAGTAACTATACTGTATGTTAACATTGTCCTGACATTAAAAAATGATGTTCACTGTGGTGGGGGTGTCAGGGAGTCAAGTCCCCCAGTCATAATGGTGTGATTGTATACTTCTAAAGATGGTACAGTGGTGTAGGATTTGCAATAGGTGAGGTCTCAAATGAAATACAATTCCTTTAGGATACTGTTTCAGAATTCACTTGGCTTGCATTGCAAATGTGAAAGCATGTGAGTACCGATAAGTCAAGGTCTTCAGCTTACAGGAAGGAAGCTATTTTTGAAAAACCAGTGTTGGTACTGTATATTTAACCCATTTCAATTAATAGATGAGCTTCAACTTAGCAAAAAGTGTACCTTCACAGACATTGATTATAGGATTTTATTGCTTGTTCCAGATGGATTTCCTCTGATGGGTGAATATAATCTAAAACTTGTATAAATGCAATATTAATAAATATAAAACATGCCACAGTTGGCAGAGGAATCCTACTCTGTTGGGCCCCTGAGCAAGGCCCTTAACCCCAACTGCTCCAGGGGTGCTGTATAAATGGCTGACCGTGCACTCTAACCCCAGCTTCTCTCCCTGTCTGTGTCTCAAGGAGAGCAAGCTGGGGTATGCAAAAAGACAAATTCCTGTGCAAGAAATTTATTAAAGGGTTAATAAAGTTATGTTTAAAGAAAAAATAAAGAAAATACAACATTAAAGAAAATTGCATGAGGTAAACTGGTAAATCATTCCTGTAATTTTATTGTATTATTTTCTTCAGTTGCATTAAGTGAAAGCCAGGCTCATGACCATGAAATATGATGTATACATTTGTATTTGTAACATACTATAGCTTGTCGATCTTTACTTTGTCTACATCGGTATCACCAAATTTTAAGTCTTCCACTCTTACTGTGACTTTAAGAATAAAAAATAAATAAATAATGAAAACAGAAACCACTAGAGTATGAAGTTTTCAAATAGGTTTTAGAATTTACTGTTACATTACTAAAATATATGAATCTTTTAACAGTGTAACAAAGTTCCTCTCCACCTACTGCTTCTATTACTACGGCAATATAAAGTAATTTTTTTTTCCAACTTGATGTGGTCTCCCATTAATTAACATTATTGCTTTTGTGTCTTCCATGCAGGGTCAACCAGCACCCCTCCAGCAGGAAAAACCAGCCATGTCACCCCCTGTAGTGACAGTAAGAAGAATTACTGTGTGAACGGAGGAGAGTGCTACACCCTTGATGCCATTCCTGGCAATACTAAGTACTTGTGCAGGTAGGAGCCCGAGAGTCAGGACAGTCCTTTTATGTGCACAGCTCTAGGCCTAACATGATCCTGGATCACTTCCTATAACTTCTTTTAAGTGGAGTTAAGCCTTTTGCTGCCGTTTCTTTGCTGTACTCAAAAAAAAAACTCACAGGACTACAAATATTTCTTCAAAAATATTACTGGCTTGTAACATTTTCCAGGTTGAATAACAATTATGACAAATGCTTCTTCCATATTTTTGAAAACTGTTCTGTAGAGCAGAATTTCTTATTTCAATGAAACCCTTAAAGAAACAAACAAGTTAAGCCCTTTTTTGTCTTTCTGTCCATTTGTGTGGTGAAATGAAGAACCAGTCTTCACCTGGATATTCTTGAAAATTTTAGTTTAAGTATTTCTGTCAAAATAATTATCTATTCTGAGACAAATAGCAGAGAAAGATAAAATTGTCACATATGAGAAAAGACATTACAGAGCTATAAATTCAAAATGTCATCTTTGAATTCTCAGGCTAGATTTCTTATCTTGGAAATTTTAGCCCTATGAATTACATGACCTTATTGCCTTCCTTAAGAAGTGGGACAGGTGAAGGTTCTGGTCTTTGTGGAGCTATTGACTATACAATATTAATGTCACAGCTCTTTTCTTTTAGAGCAGTTTTACTTTGCTTAAACGTGCTTTAGAGAGGATACCAAAGTTGGTCATCAATTGTGAGTTCAGTGCATGTTCTGTTTCTCAATTGTGACTATTCCAAAATTTCCTTTTTAAAAGTATTATATTTTAAATGTATTCTTTTAGGTTTTAGAGGTTTGCTCATCTGTTGAAGTGAAATTAAGTCATGTTTGTAAAGTCCTAGAGTGATCAGACCTTGACCACAGAACCTCAGCATGAATTAATAAGCACACCATTCATCAGGATTTTTCCTGAAGAAATTTAAACACTGGAAATAGGAGCAATGTTAAGCTAATGGACTAAGGGAGCTTTACAGAAGATAGGGTTAATGTGGTTTAAAAGGAGTGAAATATCTGGCAGATATATATTTCCTCTGGTAGATATCTAGATCTGGGTGCAGAATGTAGAGCAAAGCATGTCATCAAAACAGATTTATGGCTTGTTTTATGATGGAGAAGTACTATTTATGGCAGAGGAACTGGTAATCAACCATCTTCTTAGATTTAGGGCTACTTAAATAAACTACTGGAGTTTAAAAAGTTTTAAATTCCAAAATGTTCAAATATTTAAGTAACTGCTCTTTCTTTGCATTTAATTTCCAGGTGTTATTTTGCATTATATTGTAAACTGTCTGCTAGGGGAGAGCTTCAAAAGAATTTAATGGTCACATAAAACAATGAAGGACAGCTAAATGCACTTTTAATGAGAACAACATATTAATCCAGTTAAAAGCAAAAGGAATGGAATCAAAGAGCAATAAACAATAGTGAAAGCCAGAACCTCGCTTATCCTGTACCATACCCCGTCTAAGAATCTCTTTCTGGAATTTATACTGTACAGTATAATTTGTGAATTTTCTACTCTGTGAAAGTTCATATGGAAGAAGATTTTTAAAGTGCTCAAAATGTGGAATTTTATGGGTATGATTCCCCGGAAAAACCCTTTTCCGTGTACTGTAGGTACATTTGCTGTAACCTAGATGTCTTGATGGCAATAAAAAGAGAATCCACTTGATCAAGAATTGCTAGAAGTTGCAAGCTGTGCATTGACTCTTGTATGTTAGTTATCTGTTTCACCACATCAATGGGGAAATACGTTGCTCTCATGCTGTAGTGTTTATGGCATCACAGTGTGTTTTAGAGACCCGTGATAACATACCTCTCAAAGCAAAGACCACATCTGCGTTTACAGCATTTGTGATGTATAGTTCTGTGTCGGGGAGAGAGATCATATACTGTACCTACTTAACTAGCTGAGCAGTAAAACCACGAATTAACCACAAACTAAACATATGTGTCAATTGAAATGAAGTCTGTGGAAGGAAAAAGTACTGTAGGTTGAACAAAGTTCAGTTTTTCCCTTAACTTCTTTGGAGGTTATGAGTGCATTTCACCAAAAGTTATAAACTTGTCTTTTTAATTATTTAAACCATTCAAATTATTTAAGGTATTTAATTGATTATGTTTTGGGTGAAATTGTGTAAGGTGAAATCTTTTAACTGTGTTTTTTGCACATACTGGTTACAGGACATTGAACATTCAATTGAGTGCTGTGTTCAATGAGAAAGGAATTTACCTTTCTGGATTGTTTATAGGAAGTACATTTCATTTGATGAAAAATAATTAGAAAAGGGTTATGTATGTCTAGCTCAGCACATTTTGGGCAACTATTGAAATGTCATGACTATTGATAAAATGCATGCCTCTTAGCAAGAGGCAATATACTTTGATACAAATAACCCAAATGCCTGTATCTGCACGTAATCCATTTGTCTGTGTACACTTGGCATCGAAAGACACCACTGCAGATAGACCAATCATTTCTTCTAAAGTTCTTGGCAAAAAGAATTGACACTGCTGTAGTTGCACTTTGGCTTCAGTCCATTAGATGCATAAGAGAGATTTTTACTGTCTACAAAGAGAGTATCTTCCTAAATACATCAGTGACTCAGCAGAAAAAATGCTGCCTTCCACAAGGATTTTCTTTACTTTTTAGTAAAAGGAGAAAGTCTTAGTTTGTTGTTTTTCACTTATTATGGATTGTGGGCAATATCCGAATTTGGAGAAATCAATCGACTGCCTTCTGTAAGTTAAACGTGCTCAGTTGACAGTCATGACAAAGCTTCTCAGAAAAGATGGGACTATTAATATATCACAAAATTTAACATTATTTCTTCTATTTAGCAGTACTTTGTTTTTCTTTGAAATGTCCTTTTTTCATACAAAAAGTAAGAGATGTTTCCAACACTGCACAACATGAATACAGTGGAAAGCAGCAATTAATTCACACTGTGGGGAAAACTTGGTTTTTCAAAGATTTGATGTGAATTATCATCTAATCCAGTATATCATACAGTACGTAGCTTTCCTTTTTGAATGTCTGAGCTATAGAAAGAACTGCAGTAAGATGTAAAATGATATTTATGAAAGAAAAATAAAACAACACTGTTCACATTAACAGTACAATAAGAGTAAGAGAGGTCCTACATCTTGTTTTCTCAGTGAAGTTCTAAAAACCACACCAGTTCATCTTTACCCTGTTTTGCTGGGATTGAGATTATAAAGTGAGAGGGATTGACAGGCAGTGAAACAGCGCCTAACCACAGCCTTGTTCCTCCGGTTGTTCAGAGTGCCAGCTGCCTCTGCCAGCTGGGAAGACCCTATGAAAGGCCCAGCTGGAAACCGGATGGAGACTTTCCCCCACACGCCGCGTTATCTCCATCAGGAAAGCTTTCCGCAGCTAAGGCCTGTCACCAGCAACCAGATGGCCTGTTGATAGTAGAGGATTGAAGAAAGAAATTATTGGACTTAAACCCCATCTCCAATGCCTGTCTTTTTACTGACCGATTTTGATTACTCATTATGCCGAGCAGCTTTTTTATAGGCTTTGAATTATTATGCGGCAGAATCAGCGGATAGATATAAAAGACAGGAGCAAATGCAGTGATGGAGGAAGAATGAAAGTGTTCAGTATTGTTCCTTGCCTTCGTGTAGATACACAAATAGCATAAAAAGGTAAATGTGTCTTAGGAACAAGTTAAGGTTTATTCCATGCTGAAAAAAAAGAGACATGACGTTTCGGCTGTGGAGCCCTCTTCAGGTGGCTTCTTCATTTCACAGCTGAAGAAGGCTCCACAGCCGAAATTTCTGTCTTTTATCTTTTCAGTATAGAATAAACTTTTACTCGTTCCTTTGCAGCCTACGCATGCTGACGCAGCTACCTAAATGAGTCTTAGTCCATATCCGTATTAGGAGATCTGCTTTGACTACGCACTGGGCTCCAAACTGAGATAAGTCTTCCTTTGGGACTATACAGTAGATGTTACAAATACCACATGCTAACATGCTTTAAAGCAGCATTGTACATCCCCACTGTTTCATCATAATGAAAGAAAGATTATTACAGGAACAAATTAGCCTCAAAGGGAAAACGCAGGGGCAACATCAGCGCTCCAGCAAATGTTAAGAGGAATAAAAGATTGGTATTAAAAGGGAAAGATCAATGAAGATTATTGACATTAGCACAACATGTTCTGCTGACATTTCCCCATTGACGCTGGGAAAGCTGAAGAATTCCGGGAGCTGCCAGGTGTGAGAGATTTGTCTGTTGTTCTGTAATTATACCAAATACCCATTTCTGTTGTTTAATGGAAATGGCACAGATATAATTAATATAACGACCAGACCAATTGTAGAAGAGCAGAACACAGATTATCACAACAATAATTGGGATGATTGAAAAGCAATCAACAACGCAAACTAGGCATGGAGGAAAGAGAATTATAGCGACTAAGAGCCCTGCTGGGCTGTTTTCTGTGCTTTTATCAAACTTATTAGTTTTTATATGCCCTTGCAATTTCAGCACTGAGTTTACAACAGTTTCATCTGAATCTGTGTTTGTTTTACTTTTGTTACACAAAGCAGCTCACCTCTGCAGTGATGGGAAATCACTGATTTTATAGGCATCTATTTAGTATTGGTTTTAATATTGTTCTGTAGTAACTTTAATAAATAAGTTAATAAAATGAGTTAATTTAACCTGGCTCCTTAACCCTGCGAAACAATTAATTGTATTATGATTGTAAGACAATGATATGTATTATGTATGTTTGCCTGTTTGCATATCTCACTCCATTTTTACCCTTTAGGTGCTTAACTGGATACACGGGAGATCGGTGTCAAGACATTGTGCCCATGAGAGTCATAAACCCAAAACGTATGTCCACTTGCTGAACCCCACTGCGCGTGCCATCTCTGGTGTTTACTTACTGACTAAAGTCCCAATCACTGTCTTGTCAAATAGACTACTTTTATTCTAGACAACTATATCCCTTTGACCTTTTCCCATGAGTCACTGTGGGTTAATTCCACATTATGTCTTTGGAAATCAGAGAAGGATCAAACAAGGTATGATTCAAATTGGATTGTTTACAGTTGGATTTTAAGTGTGTATTTGAATTAATTTGAAATATTAGCACATGCTTTCACGTTAAGTCCCAATCTGAAAAATGGAACTGGAGGTTTGTGCTAGTTTAAGACTCTGATTGGTACTTTTTTCAAGTAAGTATGCTTTCGCAAACAAACAAGGGACCTTAATGTTGGTAAGACATTCTTATTTCTCAGCTGCCCTCAACACCAGAGATGCACGTCACTCTGTGAAAACTCTGGTGTTAAGTCACTTCTTCACTTTTCTCTTTTCTCTGTGATTTTTGTTTCCCTCTTAGGTGCCCAAATGAATTTACTGGTGATCGCTGCCAAAACTACGTAATGCCCAACTTTTACAGTACGTCTACTTCCTCTTCCTGTCTGTGCTTTGGTCAGAGCATGCTGAATCAGTGCTACTTCCTGTTTCTTTATTTTCCTTTCAAATCCTAGACAGATTAGTTCTTTTCACAAGAATAACTTGTTTTCCATACCACCTGTAAAACAACGAGGATTTTTTCTACACTGAAGAAGAGGGACAAATAGTGGGAAATGTACATGTGAGAAAGAAACAAAGATGACAGATTTAATATTTTTACCAATAAGAATGTACAAAAGTATATAGCAAAGTCAAACACTAGACTAGACTCCTGTCTAAAACGCGTTGTGTATTTCACTGTCTACAGAATGATATCTGGGATGAAAAAATGACCACAGAGACAGATGAAGTTGAGAAGCTTCAGGTGCAATATACATCGTATTTTGCAAGAGGATTCAGTATGGTTATAAATCAGATCATGAGCATAGTTAAATGCTAAAAATAATTGAATGAAGTCAGATTCATATGTTTATTTTTAGAAATTCAAAGAAAATCTATTATAATTTGTTTTATAATTCAGTTTAAATCATTACTTTAATTCATTTAGATTACGTATGAAAAAAATGAGAGTGTTACCAATTCATTCTAATTTTGCAAAGTGCATTTAAGGGCTAATATTGATGTAATTACATTTGACTTAAACATTGTTTGTTTCATAATAATAAAACAGTTCACAGATATGAAAGATGCATAAAAATGCATTGTTCCATTTCAAAAAAGCAACTGCTGATTTTGTTAGCAAGTAAATACCATGCATAGCTTCACTTTCCCTCCCAGAAATCACAGGAGAACACAACAGAAAAACCTGACTGTTTTTTAGCAATCAAACATTATTGTGGTGCGATGGCTCTGTGGCTAAGGAAAATATTCCAATCAGCAGCTTATCAATTGAAGCCTTAGTTGAAGTTAATGGTGCTCCACTCGGATGAAAGCTGTGTGTGTGATCCTCCAGGAACCTCTGCACTCGAGATGAAACATAAACTTATAAATAGCAGATACTTTGAAGTCAGAGCGGAGATGAGAAGCAACAAATCCCATGGTCTACTTCAATAGTCATTAGTCATCTAACTTCTTTATGTTCAGATTATTTAAATTAGAGCAACCAGCTGAAAAATGAAAACGTTATGCTGCAGACTTTATTAAACTCACAAAAAATGTAAAAGAGGCCCAAAAGGCAAAATGTAATATTTAAACAGTAAAAGCTGTTCATATTTTTCTGGTACAATGGTTTTCCCTGGAGGGTGCAGCCATTGAAGACCTAATTGAGGAATATCATTAGTATATCTGTGAGAAATTGAAATTGTTAAGTCTTTGAATCGCATCTGTCTAGCAGAGGCTTTCTGTCTGTGAGCTGGTGTGCTATATAAATCTAGTAAACCAACACCAGCCAAGACCTTATGTTGTAAGCGAGACACTCTTAAGGGAGTGATGTGAAGTAAATGGCTAAAAAAAGCAAGTGAATTGTCCTTGATGATCAGTGATTGATTTTGCTGGGTGGCTTTAAGGCAGTTAGCGCTGCTGACTCACAGTTCTGAAGTACTATGTTCAGTTTTGTGCAAGAGTGCCTTCTGTGTGGAGTCTGCATGTTCGCTGCGTTTGTGTGGGTTCTCTCTCAGTACTAATCCTTAAAACATGCAGATTACATTTGGTTGGGAACTGTATATGTCCTCCCAGAGTTATTCTCTGGTCCTCATTGACTGACAATGGCCTGATCTGCCATCCCCCAGTGAAATATAATACACTCAAGGTGACGTAGTGATTTTTTTTTTTAGCATAAGTGAAGACATTAATACTATAGTACTAGAATTTTGTCCTGGAACAACAAAAAAGAGCGGTCAAAAAGGACAGAAGAGAAAGCAGCATCAGCAGAACAGATGTGCTGAGAGAGTATTTATTTGTCAGTGCCAAAAGAAAACCCTGGGAATAGAGGCATCAGTAGAATAGATGTCCACAACATTAAGGCACAGCTCTATGAGTCAGGGATAAAACAGTCGTGCCTTATTTGTTTGAAGGTCATTTGAAATATAACTCAAATATTATCTAAAGCACCGCCAGTCCAGCTTGTGACTGCCCACTGCAAGTGATTCACCTCTTTGTAGAGACCCTTGAACTTGAACTTTATTGCCATATGTAACCAGTACATGTACTGGAACATCAGAATTCTTACTTACAGAAAGTCTCTCGATTGTTAAAAAGGTGCAGACAGTGCACTGAGACAATATACCGTACCAACAGTAGACAATGTACAGTACAAGTAAACAAGTAAACAGTTCGGATGTAAACAATGCAGATATGTAAACAATGACTGCAGATGTGCAATAAATAAGAAATTATAATGAGGTAGATTGATGATGTACTGCGTTTAACTCCAGTGTAGGCAATAGTTGTGTTTTTCCATTTTTCAGACAAGGTCAGTTGCTGAAGAACTTCCAGTGAATCCATCAGGTCCAGTCCAAAGCGAAGTGGTTATAAAGTAGTTTACTCTTAATGACCCCTGTTCTACTATTGTTTAGGCTCTAGGAGCAAGGGGGAGATGGACTCTGACATTGAAAATTGCAGTTAGACAAAGCGGAAATCAGTCTCTAAAACAAACATTTGATAAATGGTTAAGAGGCTGGTAAGGAGATTTTCATGGTACAGTACGTTTTTCAAAGGTGATCTTGAAATGTAAGTTGCTATAAATCAAGAAAAATATTGTATATAATGCCACTTCATAAATCGATATCAATTTGTGAGAAAGATCTAATTTGTGTACTTGAACTACATTTTGGTTTGTACATTGTAAACTTTTTAAAAGTCTTTAGTTATACTTACTAGGGTAACATTTTAAAACTTCCTGGAAAAGTACTGAAGTAATGCATCTAAATGAATTAATGTAAGTTTACAGTTTTATTGCCATAGCGCTTTTTGTTTTGAGGGACAGTCAAAGCAGATTTAAGTGGTTCACTAATGATGGCTGGATTACTGGCATGGTGCTTTCAAAGGTGCCCCTTAGATAAAATGTTCATTTTATGAGAGGAAATCAATAGTGAAAACATGACAGAAAAAGCTATTGCATTTTCAGATTTAACAAAGTACAGTAGCTTTGATAACAACGAAGGCAACCTAAGAGAGTTGTGTCAAACTGGGCAATGTTACCAAGAATGAACTGATATATTTGAAGGTTCCATCGGAGCAATCAAAACTCTGGAGTTCTGCTAATTCGAGGAGCCACCTCTTGGGATAATATTTACGAGTGGTTCAAGGACAAAATTAATAAAAAGGCATAACATAACTGCTGGGAGCCGTAGTAGCTCAGACGGCAAGGGCGTCTAGCTCCTGACTGGAAGGTCCCAGGTTCAATCCCAGGTAGGGCCAAGCAATGTAGCTTGCTCTAATTACGTCCAGACGGCTCTCAGGTCCACTCAGCCTCCTTTCAAAGCGAGTACCGGGGGTTAATCCCTCTGGAGGTAATAGGCTGGCCAGAGCGTGATGCTGACCATATCACCTCCACCTTCAGTGTTGGGTGGCCAAAGAAAAATGGTGGCCTTTGCCCCCCATTCCCCATGGGACTTTATGGCCTGAAAAGGGACCGACCTACCTACCTACAGTACCATAACTGCACCAGTATGTTACAGAAAACAAAGTGTTCACAATTTAAGTCAACCTGGTATTACTGGTATTCCTCCTCATTCTACTCCACAGTTCTTCTAACCTTTACCTTGTTATGTTATCCCTCACTTTGACAGACACAGTCTTACTCATCAGTTAAAAGTTACTTCTTAATCTTTGTTAACATTTTTTTTTTTACATATAGATTTTGTGAACCATTAGCAAAAGATTAACAGCAAACAAAAGCAGCAAATAGAATAGATGTGCATAGGAGGGCTTGCTACTGTAGTTCAGTCAGCCACTCGGGAAGTAATGGCTGCTGACATGTTGGTGTTGGAAAAGTGGGAAGATTTCAAGGTAAACTTGAGTGAAGTAAAGGTCTAGGCCCATTACTATTTCCTTCAATATTTACATTCAGTAATTTAAAATCCAATCAGGTGGTGAGCGTTAAAGATCTCCTTCATTATCCTGGGAATGTAAAACTAATACCTTTATTTAGCCCCAGGGTCTTCTGCATTAATGTGAGGCGCCAAACATGTTAGAAACCATTTTAACTACACAATAAATCAGAAAGAACTTGGTGCTTTCCATCTTGACTAAGGCTAAAAATCCAATTTTTCTACAATGTATAAAATCAGTTTAGAATTAAACCTGCACTCCCTATTTAAAATGCCAGGAATGCTGATAGAAAAGGAATGCAAATTTTGAACGTGGAATGGAGTGACAGTGGCACTTGCAAGAGAATTATTTTGTTTCTAATTTTACATGGGCATGGTGATTTCACGATGCAACGAACAATGTTTATCAAATGCAATTGGTACTGCTTCATAGTTCGTGTTGAGAAAGAGTCCTGCATGATTTTCTCAGCATGCTTTTTCATGAAGCTGATATACCAAATATATTCAATTTCAAGTACCCACTTCCCATTGAATTAGATGAATATTGAAGCTGCCTGATACAAATGACTTCCCCACAAATGAGATTACAGCTCAGTTACCTGTCATACATAAGCTATGAAATAAAAGCACTGAAATGTATGCATGTGCATGTCACTGATTTTTCTAGTTAGTTTTCAGTGCTCATATATTAAGAGACAATCTTTTTGAAAGTATCTTTAATAAACCTATTAACTTTACCTAATTCAAACTACTGCCACAATTGATGTCATGTTTTTAAAATATGTTTTTAGATTTATTTATAGTTTGTATAAAGAACATACAGTACAATTTATATAGAGCTTTGAGAATAATATGTAGCAGTTTTTCAAGTCCAAGTGATTTTTAAAAGAACTAATGTAGTTCGACTGAATTATTTTCTTTATGGGCTTAATTGTATTCCTTATGAACAGGTTTTTTTGTTTAAATGAGTTGAAGCTCACCATGTGAATTACTTAGTATATTTTACAGGAACCTATTTTTAACAACAATATTTTGTTACAATTTTTTCTTCACAGAAGCATACTATTATTGATTTGTATAGTGACACTTTACATTTATTAATATTATAATATAATAATAATAATAATAATAATAATAATAATAATTATTATTATTATTATATTGGCAAAAGTAGTGATAGCAGCATTCGATATAACATTTGTGCATGTACTGTAGTTTAAATGGTAACAGATGACATTTTTGAGGTTTTAAGATATAGGATATAGTTTTTGTGTTTTTATATTTTAGGTCATTTATTTTTTTTAAAGATGAAATAAAGACCCCCAATTATACAACACAGCGATATCTTCATCACTGGGAGTAGACTACCTAGCTTGCTATTAGCTGAGGTTTGTCTCATTGTAATGTTTGACTCTCTGTGGAAGTGCAGGTTAGCCATTAGTGTACAGTACATGTGTGATTTGTTTCCTGGCTACAGAGTATTGCTCTTCTCTGAAACTGTTTTTCCTTTTTTCTTTCTTTTTGTCAACTTTCTGCATTGGCAGAGCATCTTGGGATTGGATTTATGGGTATGGACCGATCATTCCTTTTAGCTTGCAGATTTAGGATTCTTAGGAGCTTAAGACTTTCCTTTAACTCCAACCAGTTTCCTTGTGCTTATGAAGGGATCATACAGCTATAACATTTTAAGTGAATTATGACCTTGGATTTTAAAGTCGTTTCCCACTACATTTTAAGAACTATTTCATGATATCAGGAGGTAGATATTTCATCTACAATTATGACCCTTACAGAGTTTCTCACATGTGAAGACACATTAAGATTTTCCTTAAAACGATTGTGTTTAATTGGAACATTAAAGCAATGTCCTGCTTCATTGTGCATGGCATTACCATGCTACAGCAGCATTTTGCATAATGTAATGCACATATTAATAAGGACAATTACAAAATCCCTGATTTATAAATGGCCTTAATACTACAATGTGTACCATCAGGCATTAGTGCACTTACACTAACTTATTGTAGGTACAGTACATGATAAAGTCCTTATTTTGTATTTTACTAGCTACTCTTAGATACAGTGCTCACATTGCTAGGTCATCAGAATGGTTTAGTGGTTATGCTGTATGGATTATCCCTTCAAACTTTGCTTTAGCCTTTTTCAAGCATTCTTCACTCTGTTTCTTCCAGTATCAAGCATGCTGTGCCAGGTCTGCAGATGACTCCTCCAATCCTCTTTGTTTGGTTTTCCCTCTTCTTTTCTATCTCCTTCTGTCTTTTTGTTGAAACCAGTTCCATTCGGTGTCCCTTTGTCATCATTGTTCTGTGTTCTTTCATGTTCTACATTATCCGTACAGATTAATGGCAGTCGTCCTGTGTCTATTTTAGATGACCTCTGTTTCCTGTAAACAATTGTTTAATAATTGTGTTACATGTTTAAATGCTTATTGTACCAGGGTTTGCTCACAGGAAATATCTGTTACTTTAAACAGGCTTTTGTGGGAATTTTCCACTCCCTAAAAGCCCTGCTTCTTGTAAAAATAGATGATTGACCTTTCTCAAAAAGACTAAAGTAAATATACATTATTCCATTTTGGATGATTTATTAGATTTTGTATTTAATAGTTAATTAAGGGAGAGTTTAGAAATGTATTTGATTTACAGGCAAGTCAAAACTTTGTACATACGTATGTATGTGTGAAAATGTAATGTCAGCTGTAAGAAGGCACTCTGAAATTATGAAAAGTTCATAAACAGTAATTAAGAAAATGTTTTTGGGAAACATTATGTCCTGTGAACAAAATCTGCATATTTTATAGGATTTGTATGTTTACTGTTACATGTGAACTGTACAAGACTAAAATTCAGATTAGTTGTTTGTGTCTTTGATACTGTTTCATAATTTTATAGAGCTTTTTATTTGTTGTGTGTTATAGATATGTGAAATAGATATTTGTTCTGTGTGATTATTAACAGCATGTGGACATTCATAGTGACATTTATTTAAAGGACAGTTATGGAATTATCTTGAATAATGTTTAAATTTAAATTTAACTTTTAACTCAATATACAATTTGTATATTGCCTGGACAAAAAGAAGGCTGTTCAAATTCTATATTTTTCTTTGATAAATATTGGATGGTTTGGATGCTAAGAATTTCCAGTTAACTTCCAATGAGGAAGCTGAAAAGTCTCAATACTAGTGTCCACTAATCCAATTGAATGTCAAAGAGGTTCACATATAGTATCCTGTATATTAATATATCTGAGCATAATATGTATTTGTATTTATTTCAAACTAACATAACATATGTATTGTGTTGATTTATGTTGATTAGACTTGTAATAAGTGTAATTATTTAGTAGTGAGTGTAAAACTTAAAAGCGCTATTGTTTGTTTTTTTTCCTTTCTAGAAGCAGAGGAGCTGTACCAGAAACGTATCTTAACAATAACAGGCATCTGCATCGCCCTGCTAGTAGTTGGCATCATGTGTGTTGTTGCCTACTGCAAAACCAAGTAATCTACTTTTCCTGCTCCCCCAACATTTCCGACTGTATTTATCTCATAGAGCCATTAGTTGAGCATTTGTTCATGTTTTCAGATATACTGTGGACTTTAAATGCCAGCACTTGTAGAAGTTAACTCTTGCAACAGACCCTCCTATATATCTGTGTTTTTACAGCTTCAAAGACCTGATTTAAATACAGTAGAGTCAAAGAATATCTTGGTGTCATGTTGCAGTAAAATATTAAAAGATGTTTACAAAAAAAAAACAGATTGGTACATGTATAAAACCTGAATGTGCAATAACTTCTTTGTGTGTTTGTAAATCAAAATTGGTCATTATTTCTATGCTCAAATGATCTCTTTAATTCTGTTTTAAAGCATTTGGACAAATTTAAAAATGTTCATGTTTTGGTTTCTCAAAATATCATAAAGGTTACACTTAGCCTTAATTAATCTGGATTTACAAATTGGGCTGATGTATTTATTAATAATGTCTTTCAGTAGCTGAATAAACAATGACCTACGAAATGATGCATATGTACACAAAAAGCCTGTAAATGACTAACATTTAAGTAAGATAGGCCTAAAGAGTAATAGTGAACAGAAGCCAAGTATGATAAAGTCAGTAATTGTGTCATAAGAAATTATCTTTATTTCAACAGAAAGCAAAGGAAAATGCTTCACGATCGCCTGAGACAAAGCCTGCGGTCTGAGCGCAACAACATGGCCAGCCTGGGCAATGGACCTCAGAACTCAAATCCACCCACCGAAAACCTTCAGCTTGTAAATGTGAGTTCACAACTTTCAAAAAGGAAAGCCTACCCATTAATGGCTTGCAAGAGAGTTTCACAGAATAAAGACAGAAATATCTGGACATCAAATGGATTGTTTTTTCCAATTGTCTCTCATTAAAATATGTTCATTGGTAATTATTTTACACATACTCATAAACCACTGATACTGTATGAAATCTACCTGTAGTAAGAACTACTAGCAAGGACTGTGGTGATTAAACATTTCCTAATGAAAATCAAATGACAAGAGTTTATAATAAAAATGTTGAACATGATAAATTATAAAAAATGGAAAATGCTGCTTTTTGAATTATGAGATAATAATAAACATACACATTTATTTAAAAAAACAGTTTGATAGAAGAATAACTGGAGTCTTGATAAAAAAGAAATTAGAAATTTAAAGAAGCTACATTTCTGATGAATGATCTTATTATTCCTCTGATCTTCAATACTACAATACCCCACATTAATTAATTTCTCTCAAAATCAAACAAGCTTTGTGAATGTTGATGTTTTTGTTGTTTTGCTTTAATTCTAGCAGTACACATCGAAAAACGCCATTCCTACAGAGCTTGTAACTGAAAAGGAAACTGAAACGTCTTTCTCCACAAGCCAGTATACTTCAACAACGCATCACTCTGCTACAGTTACTCGTATATCCAGTCAGAAGTGAGCATAATCCTTTTTTTCCAGCATTTGTCTAGAACAGTGATTCTCAAACTTTTTGGACCAAGTACCACCCCTAATCCAACCAAAGCATCCAAGTTCCACCTACAAGTCATCATCTCATAGGAACCCCAGCAATTCTCAATGACCAACATGAGCACGCGTGCACACACACTCACAAATACATATAATAAATATTATAATAATAAACTTTATTTGATATAGCGCCTTTAAAGGTGGCTTCTTAAAGTGTTTTATAGAAAAAAAAAAAACAACAAATAAAAATAAAAAAGCACCATTTCAGTGAGAGGGGGGAGCCTGTTTAGTTGAGCAAAGCAGATATGAATTAATTTTTCGAGCCTTCATATAATTCACAACAGTCTTAACAGATTTTAAATCGTCAGGCATTGTCTTGACGGCAAAGGTCTCGCGGTGGATGTTGCAATGAAACCATTAATTTCTGGAGCAACCTCTCTAATTCGTGCAACTACACCACTGTGTCGGCTTGTCATTGCTCTAGCACCGTCTGTACAAACTCCGACACATTTTATCCAGTTGATGCCATTCTCTTCGATAAATTCATTCAGAAGCTGAAATACGTGCTCTCCTGTAGTTCCTGTTGGTAGCGGCTTACAGAACAGAAAGTCCTCACGGGACATACCCTCAAACTCGTATCTAACGTAAACGAGCAAATTTGCCAAATCGACTACAGACTCATCTAATTGCAGTGAAAAACATCTGCTCATCTTAACGCGCTCTGTCAGCGTACTTTTGATATAATCCTCCATTTAAATAATTCTATGAATAACTGTGTCTTTCAAGGGGGGCAGTAGGTCGAGCTGTTCAGCAGCTTTTTCTCCACACATAATAGTGTGGGGCTTACCTGCTTTAGCAATCCGCAAGCTTGCATTTTTCCACGTTTCCGTTTTTATTTCAGTGTTTATTTTAAGTATTTATTTCATGCGCATGGAAGAGAAACACAGAGACGCTCGGTGTATTTTTCTCAAATAAACTTAGAACAGTTCTTAAATATTTTTCTGTTATTTTTCACGCTTTCCTGTGCTCACAAGATTACCAGCGTTCGTAGCACGCATTTCTATGCATTCCTGTGTTTACAACGTTGGCATTGTTCCAAAATCACGCACATTCTCCTTTCTCCCTATTTGCTGGAGATACAGTAGCTTTTTTAAAAAAAAATGGTCACTTGCGTCCGTAGCACGCATTCCTACAGAGTGGTATAGAATTACAGAGTATCTCTTGTGTCCACTGAAGTATTAGCGCGCACTGTATCGTAGTATGTAGGCTGCGTATTCGACACATAAAAATACAAAATATGAAAAATATGATTTTTTCAGCGCACACAACACAGTTCCAGGGTCATTTGGCATACCACTTGGCGGCACGCCATGTACCACTGCCGGTACGCGTACCACAGTTTGAGAACCACTGGTCTAGAATGTTTTTTTTGTTATAATTCCCTTATCCCCTTATGAAACTAGAGCTTTTCTTGCAATAAAACAGCAAAGAACCATTATGCTTTGTCTTTGATGCTTGCTTCCAGCTTATCCAAAAATTTATACAGTACATATGGTGGATTGTTAGGATGTTAAAATGCTATTATTCTGCCTGATAATGTAAAAATGACTAAACTTGGATTCAGACATTGAAATATGTATTGCTATTGTGTGAAACAGGAAAGAAGCATAAAGTTGGAAGCTGTAGTCAGCCCATAAGGTTTTATAAATGCTTGATGCAGGTCGTTCCATGTAATATATAAAGGTTTGGTTGATTTGTATTGTGGGAAAACTATTTTTACCTTTGAGAACCATCAAAGGTTTGAGATCTAAAAGTACATAGGATAAAGGGAGCAATTTTGAGATACAAAAATTCAGTTGCTTTACCATTACTGCAAAAATAAAAAAAGACAATCCTCATTAGTGCAGTGAATTGGCTATGAGCTTTATTTTACAAGTGAAACACCTTATGAAACAATTACAGCAGATCACGCTAGCAAAGTATTTTTAAAAACCTCTGTTTGACTTGTCTGTTACTTTTGCTGAATTAAAAGTGGAGCATGTGAAAATGGCACTTCATAGTTTTTCCATTGTCTTCATTTATTTACGTATGCTACAGCCATAACACTTTTAGAGCTAAATCTGGTTCAGACCAGAAGACCTTACCCTTTACTAAGCGATTAACTGATTTTCCTGGTTTTGTTTCTTCTAGTTGGAGTAATGGGCCCAGTGAAAGCCTTATATCAGAAAGCCAGTCAGTTGTGGTGACGTCTTCAGTGGAAACCAGTAGAAACACCACTCCATTAGGTCATCGGGGGCGTTTAAATGCCACCAGAAGTGCCCGAGACCTGAACGCCTACATAAAGAGTTCCAGAGACACTCCTGACTCCTATAAGGATTCACCTCACAGTGAGAGGTAGTAATGGCATTCCTTCACACCAGAATACACCATCTTGTGTACAGTCGTACACTTTGAAAACCTCGTGCAAAAAAACTTGTACTATGGTACTAGAGTACATCACCTTGTGTCAAAACAACAAATTGGTTCACGTTGTTTACAGATTTGCTGTTGCAACAAAATAATGTAAATGTTTGTACTGTATGATTTTCAGGAATCACAGTTTTGTTCTTATTATTACTTACTGGGCAAATGGAGAAAAATGTAAAAGGTTATAAATGAAATATCTTTTTGTATGTTTTGAAAGAGGTTCTGTCTAAATTTAAATTGATAAAGGTATTATATTTTGTTTTGACAGTATATTTATTATCAAATAGGATCTATAGGCTTTTGGGAATTATTTATCTTTCCTTTTCAGTAAAATTGTATAGACTTGCACAGATAAGGCTGTTTGGGATTTTTTATTTAAAGTTAGACTCCCCACCAAAATAACTGAGAAAAATAGAGTATGAAATTAAAATAATGCTTTAACACAGGGATGGTATTGTTTTATTTCACAAAAAATAGAAACAGTTTAATAATGAGGCATTTTATTTTGAATTCAAAGTGGGCAATCACATCTGTTGCAAATGCTTGATCATACCTGACATGAGCACAATTAAATATCAGTGTAAAATTAAAAGGAAAAACATTTGAATTCATATACTGTATACAATGTAAAATTTGAATATGCAGCAAGAAAGGCATCGTAGTACACTACAGTGTGACTTAATTTCAATAGCAGAATATACTTTTATTTTGTCCCAAAGCACATTGAGCTGTTTAGCTCATATTAAATACTTTAACACAATAGCTCAGACTTGTGTTTGCTAATGCGTACTTGACATTAACTAGACAAAGAGACAAATGTAGAGCATTCCGTACACTTCCTTTGTGAAGTTGAGGTTAACGTTTGTATGGCTCAGACCCACATGCTTTAGCTGTTTGACCCTCTTAATTACTGAGATAATACCATAACGCTGTCTGTGTTGTTATGCCAATCAAGGCTGCCCCTATGTTAGTTAAATGTCTGCCCTCACTATTATGTTACTTGAGGATTTATTTGCATCTTTGTCTTTTAAAACAGTTGAATGAACGGTTTTAAACTGCCCTGGAATACAGACAGCTTATTTCAATGTTGTGGCCAACAAAACACAGCATGTGACCACAGAGAATTGTATTCATTACAAAATGAGAGACTATTGTTTTTTTTTTTTCTCTCTGTGGTTATGAGAGCCGCTTTTCAGCTTTAATTTTAATTAAGCAGATAAATGACATGCACTTAATTTATTCATCCATCCATCCATTTTCTAACCACTTTATCCAATTAAGCAACGGGCACAAGGTGGAATATACCCTGGATGGACACCAGTCCATCACAGGGCACATACAGTATACTTTACACTCACACCAGGGCCAATGTTTCCAGAAGCCAATTAGTACAGTATGAATTTGAACTGTGGGAGCATCTCACGAGGAGAACCTACAAACTCCACACAAATATCACCCCAGATCTGGAACGGGACCCAGGGCCTTAGCGCTGGAGTTGGATGTCCAAATTGTCACAATTGCTGTGCAGTAAAGACCAAGAAATCTGCTTCCTTTTCATCTGTTAAGACATGGCAAGTTGTCTGCACAAAAGCCAAGGGACTTTCCTTCCCAGAGTACAAAGTTGAATATTCATGACTATCATAAGTGAAATGCAAAATATATTATTATTGGTCCATTTACACTTGAAAGGTGACTCATCCTTTAAAAAATGTAATCCTTCATATAATAAACCTAATATTTTATTATTTATAAACACAATGACTGAATACACAGTTTTGGCATAATTTCAAAGGCTGTAAGGTAAATTGAGCAGATGGGATGTGAAAGTTACTTGAAAGAATAAAAGAAAAGTAAGAGTCAAATGACAAATACTGACTAGAGCTTGATGAACACCTGCCTCTTTAAATTTACCCATCCAGAACATTGCTTGTGCTGCAAATAGAATGGAAATACAGCTTTATGAATATTGATCAATCCCAGCATAAAACAGGATAATGTGTATTTTTGACTTGATTTGTATTAAAATATAATTTATTATTATACTTCATTTATTTTCTGCATTTTTTATTATTGCACCTGTCTTTAAGGGCAACACTTTGCATATATTAAAAAGAAATCATGGCACAACATGATTAACAGTTCTCAACAGAAACCCATGGAAATGGAAATTTCTCATATGTTCTATTAAATTAATCTCTTGACTTTATTAGCTTGATATAACTGAGAAGTGCAGTAAGCTACATGCGATAGACTATGTGAAATAAGGAGAAAACCAAAAAAAGGGAGATAGTTCTGCATGAATTACCAAGAAGCTTGTAAGTTAACACACAGCCTGTCTCACAGTTGACTAATAGTTGGCTTGATGTTCTTCATCTGTATAGAAAAGTTACCTCTGGCATCAGGTCTCAGGGTTTAAAGTTATTATAGAAGAAGATTAGTAGTGCAGAATCCAACAGAAGAGATGTGTCACTATAGAAGAAAAAGTGTCACTATAACCATATTCATAAAGTGTATTCATAAAGAAACACAAGAGGAATGCAAATTATTATTTTTTTACATTTAGATTTATACTGTATAAAGGACTAAAAAGCTTTATTATCACGTAAAACTCATGCTTAAAGTGTGATCCCTGCTGGTGACATTTCAAGTCAAAGTTTTATGGACTGTATGTTTCCACTAAATAAAATAAAAAGGTGTAATGCAACAGTTTTAACCAGTCTTGTAATAAGAAAGTTAATGTTTTGAATATTAAGAAGGTAGCATTTTATTGTTTTTTGTGTTTCTCTCACTGTGTTCCCTCACCATTATTTGTTTTTACCATTTTTTCCTGTAGTTGTCTTTGCATGTGCTGTTTTCAAGTTGCAGGGTGGTCTTTTGATGATGGCATGATACCCAATACAGCCTGCACTCTGTCCTTACTAAATGACCAAACTTCTTCTTTTTCTTCCTAAGGTATGTTTCCGCTATGACAACCCCAAACCGCATGTCTCCAGTTGACTTGCACAATCCGACTTCCCCCAAATCCCCACCGTCAGAGGTGTCCCAGCCAATGTCCAGCCTGGCCACGTCCGTTCCCTCTGTGGCCATCAGCCCACTGGGTGAAGAGGAGCGCCCTCTGCTGCTGGTGACACCCCCACGCATGCGGGACAAACACCAGGAGCACCCCAGCAGCCAATACCAGCGAAACTCCGCCCACTACAACCACGCCCACGAGGCCCACAGCCCACCCCCCAGCCCGCTGAGGATAGTGGAAGACGATGAGTACGAGACCACCCCAGAGTATGAGCCAGCCGCGCCGCAGCCCACAAAGAAACTGGCCAACGGCCGGAGGGCAAAAAGAACAAAGCTCAATGGCCACGTTCCTCACAAGCTGGAGTCTGACAGCGACACGAGCTCGGAGAGTAGCAGCTCGGAGAGCGAAACGGAAGATGAGAGAGTTGGGGAAGACACACCTTTCCTCAGCATACAGAACCCCTTAGCGGGAGATCTGGAGCTGGGCCCTGCGTTGAGGCCAGCTGACGGGAGCAGGACTAACACGAACCACAAGCTTGCCGCCCAGGAGGATCTGCAAGTCAGGCTGTCCAGTGTAATAGCTAATCAAGATCCAATTGCTGTATAAGATGAAATTAACAATAATGCATAGATTCACCAGTAAACTTTTATTTTATATAAATGAAGTATTCCAGGAAAAAAAAAGATAAAAGAAAAAAAATACTTTAAATTATTTTAGCAGTAGTGATAAAAAGTCTTTTATAAATTAAATATACGTATGTAAATGTTTGAGTTTTGAATGAATGTGCCATACAGTATGTAGCAAAACTTACAGTATTTAAATGGAGAGAAATATCAATGGTGCCTTTATGTTCTGTTCTCTTTGAAGTATATTGCGTAAAGACACTGTTCCAAAGTATTTCCACAAAAGCACTGTAGTTAGGTAAAGTCCTCTGGCTAGTTGCTTTTTGTCCCACACATCCATTGGTTCCTAAGTAATGCATTATGGGGATTAATTATCGTAACACTACTAATAATGATTAAACCTTCTAAGCATAATTTGTCTTTTTCTGTATCGCCAAATACATTAAAAATGTTGGCTATCAGATCCTATGTTGCACTTTTGTGTCCTTAAACCTCCATTTAAAATGTTTTATTATAATTTGTTGTTCTGTTTAGCTGTAGTCATATTAGAGATCTGTAGGTGAAGTTATTTCTGTGCAAACATAAAAATATTTAGGTTTTTGTTTTGTTTTATGTCCGTTCTCCTAATGAAGGCCCAGTATAGAAATACCTGCTCTGAAAGAGTCAACAGTATACAGTATATGATACATAATAGTTTATGTATGATACAACAGGATCATAAAGAAACTGATCTATAATTTCTGGTTCTGGATCTTCACTAATGTAGATCATACATTGAGGGGTAAAATAATACTTGGAAATTTAATTTTTAAGTCTAAATGTAAGCTTTAGGCAAAGTTAAATTAAATTGGTACTGATTTTTAGTCAAAAATTAAAACATGATATACAATTACAATTAATGTGATACATTTGACTTATCTTTCTTATTTAAAATATTAAAGGAAAATTAAAGGAAGCTTAATGTAGTACTACTACAGTGAAATTATTGAAGTGGAGCTGTCAGGAGATCTGTTATTTATGATAATAAAATATATAGTGTTTGCCAACTAAAATAATTGCATAATTTGTTATTGCGGGAACACATTTAATTTCTAATATTACAGTACCTTATTTTCCATTTTAGAAGTGGAAATGTAAAGAGAAGAATAAAATGCATCTTATTAAGTTGACTCAGATGTTCAGTTCAAGTGTACTTGAACTGAAATAGCAGAGATCTTGTTCAATTTCATGACAATAACATAATATGATATTTTGTGGTGAAGTACTATTTGAAGTTAAATTTTGCCTAACAATGTTAACAAAAATACTATGAGGGGATTCGTGAAGAGTTCAAAGTTTCATTTTATAATTCTGTCCAAGTTATGATTGGTTTTAAAAAGTAAAGGGATTCCCCATAATACCTTGCTTTCAACCAATAATGTGTTCATATTGTGTAAATATACCACTAAATACATAGACCTCTTTGCATTTCCTGGCATATTAAACACAGTGACTTGTTTGTATTTATCATAAAACAATATTGTAATTAGACCACTTTTCTCCTTTCTCTTAATTATGTCTTACATAACCCCAGTGGGAACATACGCATAGTAAATCGTTTTTTTTTCTGCTTTGTTTAGTTTTGGTAAAGGTGCAATAGTTGAAAACTATTCCATCAGTTCAGGTTCACTTCCTTTAATTGAGCATGATTGTGGAAGGTTGAAGTCTACAAATAATGCACTGCCCAATTATGTAGTTGTTATGCAACATTGCTACTAACATGCTTCCATAGCAAGCCATTATAAAATGCAACTTACTGTAACTGAGTCAAGGCCTACAATAAATGCAGGGAAAGCATTTTAACTAACAACACAAAAAAGCACTATCGCATCTTCAAGCACGTACATTATGAGGCCTACAGCATGCATGTGTTGCACTGTATGTGAATGTGCATGAGAGATGTTTGATGACAAACCAGGAATCCACAATTCATAAAGTAAAAGCAGGGTTATTGCACCTTTTTCCTGTCTTATTTTAAAGCACCCAATTTTAGAAAAAATCATTTTCATTCCACATTGTCAAACACATTCGGTAGCAAATCAAATCTACTTGTTATACCTACATTGTCCCATATGTGTATTTTTAATAATGTGTATTGCGCATTGTTTCTCAGAGTCAAACAGAGCTGAAGATCTTTAAATCTTTAAGGACCTTTGAGATGAGAACATTGCAGTACAACTTAAGGAGGGTATGCACTGAGTTGTGCCTTTGGGTCTTTCAGCTCTGTACATCTTCCCACAGGGAAGACCATTGAACTTTCACTACAAACGTCACTCTCGCTTAAAGCAATTAACAAAATCACCTTCAGTCCTGTTGCAACTTATTGAGAATGGAAAAGCAGAGCAACAGAGTGTGTTTTTTATACCATGCAAATGATTTAATACCTTTTCAAAAATATCCCTGACTTATGACCAATCTAACCAAGAGTATGTACTTAAATGCATACAAATATGTTCACCTATGATAACCCTATTTTTTTTCCTATTGGCATAAAAGCCAATAGAGTTTAAAATAAACTAAAGTTTGGCTCGGGCTTATTTAACAAAGCATGACAAAGTTCCAGAATCAGTATAAATCCCGTGTGATTTCTGCTATAGATCCATTCATCCCAACATGTGTAACATACAGTAGTAAAAGGTCTGTAAGAACCTTTGCCCTTAATCGCTCAATGAGCATGCCCCCATTTAAGACCAGTTATCAGACTCATCATTTGACTCTAAACTTCCAACATACAAATTAGCAGATTTAGGATGAAGATTGATTAATAACATTCTAATGAAATCTACAAAGACTTTGGCCCTTTACTTTCAACCATAAATCCTGTTGTTTGATTGTAGTATTTTCTTGTTTTGTTTGTTTGTTTGTTTATCTACTGCTGGAAGATTTTTATTTTATTTTGAAACCTATTCCAAAATTGCAATTTGTCATGGCAGAGTACAGTGTTAAATGTTGTTTTGAAATAGACAAAGGACGCTGCTTTGGATAGACTTGCAAAGCCTACCAAATTCATGATATCTCTCATATCTAACAGAATTTCAATAAGAGACTAGAATAAAATTGTGTTTTCTAAAGTGAATCTATGATATAGAGACACACTGTTTTATTCTAGGCAGAGTACTTGTAAAGAAATCAGCAAATCTTATTATTAATATTGGAATTACTATAATCATACAGTTTATATTAAATGGTTACATTAACATGAGAATAGTTGTACAGGATTAAGAAACTGCATTCATGATTAACTGTTAATGCAGTTAAGTGTTTTGGTCACCTTAAAATACTGGTGTAAATTATATTAGCAGATGCAAGACGTTCTATCATAAGTTTTCTACATATACCTTCTGTAACAAAATATCTGGGTTTTTTCAACATAATTAAAATCACATTGGGTTGTGTTTAGACAGTAATTCCACTGAGAGATTACTGTACTGTACATGTCAAATCCTTAAATAAGTGGTTAACGTCAGTGTAATTCTACACAAGATCTTGGAGTAACCTAGTAAGATTCTATGGTGATGTAAAGAAATCCTTGTGGCGTGTTCTGTAATCACTTTGTTCTCTACATTCCTTGGAACCTTGTGAGTATGGAACATGGCCTGCTGTGTGTCTTAATTATGCACTGAAAACAACAATGGTGCAAGTGGTCTTTTCATCCGAGGGTAAAATGATGATTTGTGTTCAGCAGGGGAGGTGATTGTTTAATTAGTTTTCTGAAACCTGATTATGATGGTTTCCAATATAAAATTAACTGTGCACATTCTTTACAAAACAGTTGTTGTTGAATCTGGCTCTGTACTAATTCTGCTATAAAAAACGATAAAACTCCAAAAAAAGAAAAAAACACAAACCAAGTACAGTACAGTTACTAACAGCAGAATTAAAGTATGCACAGTGCTGATCTTGTGTAGATTACCTTAGGTGAATTGATGGTAGCACAGTTTAGCAGAGTGGAAATGCTATGTGGATTACCTTCCATGCTCACATTCTGTATTCACATTCACATACAGTAGTTAATTGCCTGGCTATGTATAATTTAATCCTCTTTGTATATTTCAATTCAAAACCTAGACTGACACACATGTAGATATATGCAAATTTTCCTTTTACAATCCTGCCATAGATAATAGATTGTTTTATTTTTTTCTTATTAATTTATATATTGCTAAAATGGCACCCCTACAAATTCACAGTAACATTGTAAATGCTAGTTGTATTTATAGAAATGTTTAACCAAAACAATTTTTATGCTGTATAAACAAAGTGTTTGTTTTTTTTTTCTTTTAAATATTCATCCACATATTACTTTTTAATAATTTATTGTTGAGAATAAAGAATGTATCTATGTAACATTGTATAAAAATGTTGGAAGAAGTTTTTTGCCACTTAAAAATGGGAAACTCAGCAATATCTTATTATTTATTTATTACAGTTGCAATTTTTTAAGAAGTTAAATTTTATACCCTTTTCTTGTTCATTAAATTGTATTATGGCATCCATGGTATTGTTTTTCTTCAACTGTTAAAAACTATAGTATTGACATTACTAAATTTATTTTGTGTATGTGTAGGCTTAAATGAATAGTACACATTTTCTGTGCTATTAACATTAATTCTTTACAGTTTCAAAGTAATATAAGTAACAGTAGTTTTTGCTGGTTCATAAATATAAACTCTTGTGTCTTATGAACGTAGAAAATTTGCAATAAAATTCCTGCAAACTGATGCTGAATGTAAACTGAAAAGGATTTTGTTTTTCTACTGAATTTGATCTTTTACTTTTAACAGTAGGCAGTTATTTCCCAATTATGTATTTCTCATTATTTTTCATTTAATAGGCTTCCCTGAAACACGATTTGATATTTCACTTCTGTTTCTAATTCTTGGTCCTGAAGTACTTGATATACAATGCAATTTTTACTATTTATACGTGATCAATATATAGTTATTAAAGAGCACTTAGATTCCAGTTGTGGGTTTACTAAATAAAAACCCATATTTAGGTGCAGTAGCACACAAGAACAGATTAACAAAACTTACTTATGCCAGAAACATGAGGAAACACACAAAAGTAGAGAGCCATATAAGCACCATTGAAGTTGGTGATTGAGCAATTTAATTTAGGAACTATGTCTTGAGTAGCAAATGATGGATAAACATTTACTTGGGTTTATATCACATAAATGTAATTGTTCTCATTTCTAGATCTGCGTTTTCAGAACTTGTATTCCTTCAGTAAGATGTGCCACTGCTCTTACACGTATTAATCAATGCAGCCATCGTATCTCTATAAACCTGACAAAACAAAGACAAGCATGTTAAAATATCATTGTGTTTGAAGCAAGTAACTACAGTATTTATAAAGCAAGTAATTCAGATTTGGATGTGATGTCAGTCAACAACTTTGACAAGAAAGACTACAGTACATTTAACCCCACAATATGGTGATCAAGTGCTTTGTACTAATCCATTTCCACATGGTTGATATAAGAACAAAAAGTTACAGAAAAGAGGAGTCAGTTTAGTCTCAGTCATACAAAGTTGTTTCTTAAAGGAATCTATGCTGTTAGCTTCAACAGCAGTTAGGGAGTTTGCTGCATATTCCTGAGAATCTTTCTACATGTCTTCTGTTTTCTGCTCATATACCCAATTGCCAGTTGACATCCCAGGTCCTCACATCATCATTGATCTTGTAGATTTGTGCTGGATTGACTTGGTCAAGGCCTTCCAGGAGTGTGTATAGCTGAGTCATGTCAGGTCCCCTAGTAATCTTTTTTTCAGACCAAAAGGCTTGAATTCCCTCAATCTTGACAATCCCAAACCAGATTAGTTGTTTTCCTTTGTATTGAGTAGTCATTCGGCTTCTCAATTTCTATCAGTAAGGCTGAGTGAGGTACTACCATTGCACCCTTGAGCAAGGTCTTTTGCTCACAGTGTCCCTGGAAAATGACCCACTGTATAGATAATGGTTACACTCTCCATATTATCATTGTTAATGAGAATTTGTTCTCAATTTACTTTTCTTTTTAAATAAAGGACTATGATACAGTACTTCTACTACAGTCAGCATTATCTTTCTAGCAGCATGATAACCAAGACTCTGTACATATTCTAATGCGTATCTCATTTACAATTCTTCCCTACTAAATGTACAGTATATCCAAGCAAGTCTATCTGTTTGCACTGTCTATATTTCCTGAATGTGTAGAATTTCTCACACATTGCTTCATTTTGTTTGATGCCACATATTTGAAATTAAAATGTATGTACAGGTATGTGCTGCTAGCATGTAATAATTGAGTTTAGTTAATCCATCCAATTTCCATCACCTTTATTCAATACAGGATCACAGGGGACCTGCAGCCCATCCCAGTAAGCAATGGGTACAAAGCAGGATACACCTTGAATGGGATGCCATACAGACACAAACACACCAGAAGATAATTAATTATTACTAAGATAAGATCTACCAGCCTCTACCGGCCATGAGATTCAATCCAGCCACAGGCACAGATCCTTAGCAACAGAGTCACCGCACCACCAATCCAGTGCCGTACTGTCATCAGACTGTGGGAGGAAACCCGTGCACTCAGGAAAATCCCAAGTGAACATGGAGAGAAAGTACAAACTCTATGGAGATATTACCCCAGGTCCGGAATAAAACCCAGAAACCCAACACTGTGAGGCGATGCTGAGCACTGTGCCACTGTGCTGCCCTGGTTTATTTATAGTTAATATTAATTTACATTATAAATTACTATAAAATTATAAATTACATTATTTACAAATATACCATTTTTATTTCTACACCCTTTGTATCATTGAGTCTGACAAGTGTACCAATGACTGTATATCAAGGTAAAATCCATTAATAGTTTACAGATCCCAGTTAATAACTTTAGAGTTAAAATACATCGACTTTAACGTTACAGTTTTGCTTGTAGGTTCTATCATCTCATATAACTAAATCACATTTATTCTCAGATACATGTATATATGCACTTACTATCATGAACTAAACATCAAACGTGTTTGGAATAATAGTTCAACTCCTGAGAATTGAAACGTGAGTAAAGACGTTTTATACTCAAAAATCCATTGCCCATAAGCCCTTGATGAGTTAAATGTCCTGCTGGTAAGATGAAGCTTGGTGGCTTGGTCCATAATCCAATTTGCAGCTGTTCTGTACTGGGAGCATCCCAATGCAGACAGAAGAGAGAGAGGTTTGCCTCAGGCATCTCTGCCAAAAGGTAGTGTAGTGCTTAATTTGTGCACTGTGCACTGTTTGTCTTCCTGGGGTCCACCCACAAGGTAGACAGGTGGAAGGAATTCAGTTCTTCCTGGCTATACTGTAGATTAGTGCTGAATATACTTGGATATTCATGATGTTGATATAAAAAGACTCCAACTGTCTAATTTCATTGTTCTGGTGAAAATTATAGGGGGTTTGCGATGATTTTTCCTGTTGCAGAAATATCTAGGACAAAATTCGGTACTTTTCGACTTTGAGAAATGTTTAAGCCCTGACTCTGACTGCTTGCAGTCACATGGCTGGAAAAGTCAGATTGCCAGTTATTTGGAGATATGAAAAGCCAGTGATCTAATAAAACAAGATTAAATGTTTTCATGAGTTAACAGTACAACATCACCATCAAGTTGGTAATTGGCTGAAGTGTTATCAGGTTTGGTTCTGTTACCCACCTTGCTGATCCTAATTGGTGGATCTTCTTTGGGGTGATTGATCCTGAACCCATGATTTGAGAATAAATCAAAGTTCAGACTTTGCGCTATATATTATTTCACCTTACACTATTAAGGTTTGATACAGTTTTACAATGTCTCTTATCAGACATTTTCACATGATATACAAGTGGTTGTTGAAAAAGTCTTTAGAGTAACAGAGTAATACATAAGGAGTATTGAAGGAATGTAATCTGACATCTGTAGACTGGAGAATTCTGATTTGAATGACACAGGAGAAAGAGCGAACCTGATGTCATTTAAGTATGCTTGGAGTGTCCTATTATTTCACATCACTTTAGTTCTATGCAAATACAAAGCTTATTCTGGTTGTCTGGATAAGTACTACCTACACTATACATTATCTTTAGAATAAAATGAAATTATTATACTTTACAAATCAAAAAACGTATTCTAGATAAAACCTCTCAAATTAAGCCTGAAGAAAAAATATTTGTCACGTATGGTGTATTTTAGTGTTTATTATCATTATGAGGTGGCTTTCACAGAAACGTTTTCCAGGAAATGAAAAGTACTATAAATTAGTATGTTTACATTCCACATCAAATATTTACTGATTCACCAGCTGAGAGCTCAAAACTTGAAGTATCTTATGAAGTCTAAGCTTTTTACAAAAATGTTTTAGAGCCCCTCACAAGCAGCATTTTTTATACTAAATGTTCTTAAAGGAACAAGATGAGGTTAATTCCATGCTGAAAGAAATGAAACAACTTTTCATCTGATAATCTTATTGAGGTGTAAGGATGAGAGAGAAAAGTTAAAGGTATCTTGGATTCTGTGAGGATCTATACTCTCCGCAGATCTCCTCGAACCCAGTTATTCTCCATTTTAACTCTCCCAGCCACTAACCTCTCCATCTGCATCATTTTGCAGGGTATTCAGGGATCTCAATCCCAGACTTTACACCTTTTCTCCCACAGGTTTCTATTTGTTTAGACACTCTTTCTCACACGTTCTGTATTGTTCTCCTTTCCTTTATATTCCTGCAACTTTTAGATCTCTCTTTCCTGAAAAAGGCTCAACAGTGGAAATATGTTTTTCTTGTGCGAGAAAGCTCAACAGATCTCGCACTGCTGCAGTTCTCCACACAAGCTTTTTTAAAGTAACAATCTTAAATTCTGCATTTTATGAACTCAAGAGGAAAGAGTGCCAACACATTTCTTTCACCATGAACCTTTCCTGCTCATGTACCTTGGTTTCAAATGTCTTTCTAGAAGGTTAACTTTCCAGTGTGATCTTCTGATCTCACAGCTGGGTTCCGTGATTTGGAGCCACTGCACTTCCAGATGATTGATTTTTTCTTTGACAATATAAAGGATGCATCAACAGAATTCTGAACTTTGTTCTGTCCGAATGGTGTACAAACTGGGACGTACTTTGCTCAATGACCATGCCTCTTTGTAACCAGGTGACTGTTGTGTAGTGTGACTTGGTCACCTGTTTTCAGCTCTGGTGTGATCCAGGTTCCTCTGTTAAAGTATAACCTCGGCTTTGCTTTCTGTTGTTCTGTCTGTCTCCATTTGAACTCCCCCTTTCCCATTCTGAGAAGCTACTCATTTATTGGAACATACTGTATGATCAGAATCTTCTGTCCATGAACATTTTAGCTAGGAAAACTTTACAGTTTGAACTGACTTCTCCACTAGCCTGTTTGACTGATGAGCATTTTGTCTAGAAAATGTTATGGCCAAAATCCTATTTTTTTTAATGCCAATGTTTTGAATTCTGTACTAGTGAACTGTGGCCCATTGACATTAAAACCTTTCTGGGGTCACCAAGTCTAGAAAAGTCTGTTATGCTCAATATAACATTTTCAATAATTGTACAAATTAGCCTATATGCTTCAAGATAGAGAAAGTAGAATGCATCCAAGAATGCTCCCCATGTTCCGTTTGTCATTCTCCACATTTACAGTACAAGATTGCTTTACAGTCTGTTGACTGATCAATTGTTTTTGAT